TCTTGACATATTTTATGTAATATGTCCTATATATACCTGTTTCGGAAATATTAAAACCTAGCTGACTTAAGAAGACGAATAACGCTTGCGATTAGATCGGTCACTCCTGAGATGTTGAGTAATGTTAGAAGACATTTTTATTTTAGATTAGGATGTCGTGGCGGGCATTTTGAACATCTCCTACATTGAGATGTGTTTTTTTATATTAAAATATCGAGAAATAAACAGTATTACTTATTAGTTTTAGAGTGTGTAACGAATTTCTGTAATCAAATTTTATTTTAATAATGTTATTTTTTGTAATAAATTGGAAAATATTTTATTACTCCCTATTATTTCCAGATTTAATTATAGACATAATTTTTTATTTGATTTCTCATTAAAAAAGTCGACGGACTTTTTATTTGTAAGGCATGTTTGATCTTAGTTGTGAAACAAAAAAACATAGCAAATTATTTTTCTCTGAAACGGTGTTCTTTTGGACACTATAAAAATGTCAAATTTTCGAATCGGAAATTAGGAATACAAGACAATAATAAAAGAAAACTGTTATTTAATACGTCTGTTACATTTCAAATGAATCTTGTTTCGATCAATGTATATATATGTATTAGATATTATTTATAGGTATGTGTAATAATTTATGATTGAATTTGTTGTTTTTCTTCTGTTGGCAGTGCGTGTTGTACCTGTGGGCGCTGAAGCTTTGTTACCCGACTACCCTTTTTCTCCTTCGTGGCAACCACGAGTGTCGACATTTAACAGAATATTTCACATTTAAACAAGAATGTAAGTATAATTTTAATTATCAATTAATATATTACAGAACTTATTTCGATTTATTCGTCGCTCAGCTCTGATAAAAATTTGAAATTTTAAAATTTTTACCCAAAATTATAGGCACCTTCTTAAATTTTTTAAATACGCTTTTATTAATAAACGTGTGATAAAATTTGTACTAATTAATGTGTTCCAATTAACCCCCAATAATGTCAGTACACCTTTCAAACTGTTATTTTCACTTTCAAATGCATCTAAATAAATATAGTCCAAGAGCTAGTAACACAAATTTCATTAAGTGTTTGATGCACTTTGAAATTTTGTAATTTGAAATAATTTGGATGGAAAAGCAGATATACCTGTGTTGGCTAGACCCACCCCGGGACACCAGGTACTGCGCATAATAGAAAGGTGTCGTAAAATATGACCCAAAAAAGTGTTTGATTCAGACAACAAAACAACAATTGGAAGTTTAGGTAATTCTAAAAATACTAGTAATTTAGACAGACACTTTTGAGAGGGTTTATAATTAATAAATCAACCCCAAAGTTAATTTTTTTTAAATATGATTTGAAGTGTTTGATTCACGCTGAAATTTTAATAGAGTCTTAATTAAATATAAAAAAATTAATTCCAAAAAGGCAGATACTTTTTCCGGGGTTTAATTGCCGGCCAACATAAAAATAAGTCTTATTTACTATAGAAAGAGATAGGCTGCGTATTGCTGTAGGTGTGAGTGAGAGCGCTGATCACCGCCGTTACTACAGTCTTTCTCCCATTGGATATTGGTCAAGTGTCTTTTTACAGCTGTATATTTTAAATTCATATTTCGGAGTATAATAAAAAAAAACATTTATTTAGATGACTTATGTTTAAACTTTTAATCTCTCCAGATTAAAAATTAATACAATTAAGTAATAATGATAAAAATCAATAATAAAAAATTTGAATTTAAAGCTTTTCGAATAAAAAAAAAGGAGACTGTGAGGTTATCATTAAACGTCCCACTAATAGTATGTATGGTAAATATCATTGGTTTTTTGTTTTTAAAAATATTTGTTACAAGTATAATTTATAAAAATGTCTAGAAAAGTATCTTTAATCTTCGTCCTCATCACCACTATCCTCTGATAGTTCTTCTGTCGAGTCATCACTCGAAAACACGTCTTCATCATAAGAAGTCCGTTCATTATCTGAAAAAATCCAAACATAATTTACATAATAACATGATATATAGAAAAAGAAAATAATTATAAAATACAAACCTTCGTTGTTAGAATTGTTTTCGGTACTTGAACCAGTTTTAATAGCATCTAAAACAGTTTTTGGCATACAATCACCCTCAAACCATTTAAACTCATATCTGTCATCTTTTAGAGTCCAACCTTGTCTTCCAGGTAAAAAAGATGTTGGAGTACACAGGTGAGCGTTTCGCCAAATACTTGTAATATATTGAGTCCGTAAAAGGTGTTGGTGTAATTCAGATTTGCACAGTGGTAAATTGGATGCGTCGTATTTGAGCAAAGTTTTTTTGAAAAGGCTCATTTGTGTTTTTTGATTTATATGTATAGCAAAACTTCTGAAAACGCGCATTTATAATATCTGCAATGTTTTTGTAGCCGTATCACAGACAAATTTTTTAAGTGTTGCAAACGTTTCATATTGTAATCCCGGGACATCTGATTTTCCAAGGTCAGGGGGTGCTTTTTGTTAGTCCAAATTGTTTTTAATAATTTTGAATGGTCTTGTTTGCCCTTCTTAAAAATGTAGGGTTATAATCACATCCCGTGATGGCGTGGAATCCGGGTAAACTTGTACATAATTTCGACCCTAATTCAATGTGAAGCTGTGTTACATTTAAAGTTCGTCTTTTATTAGCAGCTCCGTACTCCATATACAGGGTGATTCATAACTATTGGGACATAGATTAAGGGCAGGTTATTTAGATCAAAATATGGCGATAGGACCAAATATACCTTAATAAAATATGGCTGTGGAATAAGATACAGGGCGTTAAAGTTGAATTTTTTTTTTCGTTTTTTTTTATAATCTCACTGTATATTTATGAATTGTTATCAAAATCGGCTCAAAGGCATATCTTTGGACAAGGGATATTATTTTATGTATTATTTCACATTTTTTTACAGGGGGCGCCACGAGAATGATTCCTGATGATGAAATTAAGTGGTAAGTTTTTTTGCCGAAACTTTTTAGTGCTTTTTATTAGAAAATATTACGTAAACATCATTTCTACGTAATATTGGTACTCCTGTTTAAACACGATAATTTCACCTGTTTTCGAGAAAAACGCAATTGAACAGTTCAAAGTCTCAGAAGGATATTTCAAAAAATATTTTATTTATGAAAAGTGTGCTTTGGACTGTCAGATAATTGTGTCTGGTAAATATCAGTTCTTGCCAATGAATTATTTTTGCTGTGAGATTATAGTCTATTGTTGTATTTTTTAAAGCTTTTTCGACTGAAATGCCTCGTCACAATCATTTTACGAATGAAGAAATGCGGGATATGGTTTGTGTATATGCACAAGAAAATTTTTGCGGTCGCATGACAGCCAGAAGGTATGAATTGTTATATCCAGAGAGAAGGCAACCAAATCACAATACTTTTGCAAATCTATTTCATCGTTTGGGTGAAACCGGGTAATTTCATAGTAAAAATCTGGGTGGTCGTCCGAAACAAATCACACCTAATGAAGAAGATGAAATTTTGGTTCGAGTAGATGAAAATCCTTAAGTAAGTTCACGTCAACTAGCAATAACAACAGGAGTAAGTCAGTCGTCTATTATTAAAGTTTTAAAAAAAGAAAAGTTTCATCCTTATCACTTCACTATTGTTTAAAATTTGCTTTCAAGAGATCTTCCAAGACGGTTACAGTTCTGCCAACGTATTCTCAACAAACATAATGATGACCGAAATTTTATTAAAAATATTATGTTCACCGATGAAGCGACTTTTACTAGACGAGGTGTTTTTAATTATCGAAACAGTCATCACTGGGAAGAAGAAAACCCGCATGCTCGTAAAGAAAGACATTTTCAACATGAGTTTAAATTTAATATTTGGTGTGGCATTATAGGCGACCAACTACTAGGGCCATATCGTCTTCCTCCAAATTTAAATGGAGATTCCTATTTATTTTTTTTGCAAAATACTTTTAGAGATATTTTGGATGATATGCCACTAGATGTAAGAAGGAAAATGTGGTTTATGCAGGATGGAGCTCCACCTCATTTCCCATTAGTTGTTAGAAATTATCTAAGTGACATATTTCCTCAACGTTGGATTGGCAGAGGAAGTAATTTTGAATGGCCACCAAGAAGTCCTGACTAGAAATCTTTTGATTTTTATGTATGGGGACATATGAAGTCCTTAGTTTATACCCAGGAAATTAATTCACGAGACGAACTCTGGAGGAACATACAAAATGCGGGTAATTTTATAAGGGGACAGAATAATATTTTCTTTGCCATCCGAAAGTCCTTTAATAAAAGAATTAGAAAAGGCATAGAAGTCGGAGGAGGTCACATTGAACATTTAATTTAAGTTTTCTTTTTTATGTTAAATTGTTTTTAATTTTGCTTTACCGTTGAAATAGAAGCCTTACGTTACAAGTTTTCTTATTGTGTTATTTGGAATCCCCTTCTGAGATACTGAACTGTTCAATTACGTTTTTCTCGAAAACAGGTGAAATTATCGTGTTTAAACAAGAGTACTAATATTACGTTAGAAATAATTATCAGGTAAAATTTTCTAATCAAAAGCACTAAAAAGTTTCGCCAAAAAAGTTACCAACTAATTTCATTATCAGGAATCATTCACGTGGCGCCCCCTGTAACAAACTGTGAAATATTACATAAAATAATATTCCTTTTTCAAAGATATGCCTTTGTGCCGATTTTGATAACAATTCATAAATAAACAGTGACATCAGAAAAAAAAAACGAAAAAAAAAAATTCAACTTTAACGCCCTGTATCTTATTCCATAGCCATATTTTATAAAGGTATATTTGGTCCAATCGCCATATTTTGGTCCAAATAACCTGCCCTTGGCCTATGTCCCAATAGTTATGAATCACCCAAATTTTCACTTTTCAGGTTATCCATATTCCTAAGCATGATGAGTAGGATCAGTATTACACGATTTAATAAGAACATTGGTAACGGACTCATTTTCCAATTGACAAGCGTGATAGATCAATTAGGTATCGGCTTCTTCGTGATTTTCACAATATAAATTATCATTTATTGTTTGTACAATATTATTACTTTCGAGTTTGTATGAATAACAAAAATCGTAATTTAAAATGATTACTGTTTGAACAATGAAAGGCACCATTTCAGGATAACGCCAATGTTCAATTAAAAATATTACTAAAGTCTGTTTAAATTTAATATTTTTCAATTCCTTGTTGAAATAGGTTTTTCGAATTTGCATAGGTCCATTGATATTGAAATCAATGGAATTTTCTTCATTTCGTAAATTACGTTCATAATCTTTAATCGACGGAGAGATGTATTGATCAAAAATTATGTCAACTCTAGGAGCTTTAGTAGCAGTTAAACATGACATAATTTTTTTTGATATGTTACCAAACGTTGCTGGATCATCACGTAGTGTATGTAAAAGAAAGAAGCCATCAACTAAAACAACATCGAAGATGACGGGTGTGTCTCCTTGTTGGTGCTGCTTTTCAAAAACTGCCACGATAGCCGACTTCTCTGTTTTACAGATTGTTCCATCGAGATGATACAAGGACATTGGGATCGGAATTACAGGATAACACAGAATTTTCTCAAAATCAATGGAATGATTCATTGATAAACCCAGCATTCTTCCAAATTAATCTCGCTGCATGCTGACTTCTTGAACTTTACCACTGCTTTAAATTTTTTTCTTAACAACTGCAGAAGAAAAATATAGTATTTTGAATCGTGGTATCGGTTTCTCAAATCTTTCCTCAGATTCAGAACATTCTTTAACAACTTTTTCGCGTAATTCATCACCCTTTGTGTCAACATTTACTAAGAACTGTTTCACTTCTAATGAAGCAGCTCTTTAATTAGAAATATTAAATAGTTGCTTTTCATCAAGGTCTGAATCGAATGGGTTCACGAACTTGGAGAATCCATTGATAAATTTTCTAAGTTGTTCAGTATCTTTTTTAATGCCATGATTTTCTAAATCAGCGGTTTCGTCTTGACGTTTTCGTAAGCCAGTTGTCTCATAAGTGTAGGAAAATATTGTTGATCTAATCTGATGACTTAAACACCATCGCTGTCGAGCTGAAATTGAGTTGGTAAAATTAATTATCCCAACCAATCGTTTCGCTTCGGCATTAATAGTTTGTTCGAGTGTGAGATCAATCGGTTGCCTCGAGAATGATTTTTCTGTGCGTTGTATGCCAAAGTACCCTTTTTCCAATTCTTCCATTATTTCAGGATTAATTGCACCAACATTAACTAAGTTATTGTGATATTTAACCAACCAACGTGCGTAATTCGGTTGATTAAAAGCGAAAAACAGGTTTGTAATCTGTGGCATAATATATTTATATAAAGAAAAGTCTCCGGTTCTGACACTGCGACTTAGCGTCAAATTGTAATTAATAAAAAGAATGTACATCATATAGTATTGCGCTGTTTTTCCGAAGTCACCATTCACGCAAGCTTCTCGATATTTCATGTAAGATTCAATTAATTCTGAGATTTCATGATTGCCGATCAAATCTGAAAATGAAAGTAGACCGTCGCCAAAATGCATTAGTTCCGAGCGCAAATCTTCCCCTATGACTTTGTTTGTTTTGTTAAGGAAAGACCGAAAATGCATTATTTCTAAGCCAAGTGCCATCAGAGGATGTAATCTTTTGCATCTGTTGAAATGTTTGCCTTCCAAAAAAGAATTAACCAATCCAGAAGCTAATAATCCAGGGTCTATAGCTATATTCATCAATCCACAGCCTGCAATAAATTTGCCAAGAGCTTTAAAATATGCAAACATTATGTGAAAAGCACCTAAATGAATGAATATACTATCATACGCAGGCTTTTTCGTTGCTTGGATTTGCATCGTAACTTTTGCAATTACTAAGTCATAAGTTACGTTAATATATTTTTCCCCAATTTCCTCTGCTATTTTTTGACTTTCTTTCATTATCTGAACAACTATTGTCTTTCCCAGTAGGTGAATCATTTATGGGTGTTAAATAACATATCTTCTGCTGTGCGATGTTGAAATCTTCTATAAATTTAAAATTAAATCTAACCCACATGGGTGTTTTGGGAATCTCAAGAGCATGTGAAACCATCCACAACACAACAAATGTTTGTGCTAATTCTAATTCTAGTTGGAGCTGATAAACATCCTTCATCGCCATTCAAAATTAAAGTCTCAGACATTTTCATTTATTTATTTATTGTAAGGCTGAATATTTGGAATTATCGCCTCAAGCGATCTTCTTCTTTTTCGACCACCTCTTGCCCAAATCTCACCAGGTCCAAAATTCACAGAAGCTTCATCTACATCTAATGATAATTCTTTATCAAATACTGCTGCGTTTTCTGCTAAAATACGGTCTACATTTTGGTAAACCAACAGTATCATGAAGTATATCTTTACCGGACGAAGTATCAACAAATCCATCAAAATTATCGAAAGCAAGACCAGTATGTAATCCTTTTGTTCTTATAATACCTTCCGGACATGTAGCTGAGCGCTGGCTAGAAGCATAAGTTGTTTCTGTTTCCAACTCTTTAGCCACATGATAACTACAACAATGCCCATACCTGTTGATTATCTCGACGACTTTCCGACTACTTGTTAAACTTTTTAACGTCATAGCTAAAGTTAAATGCTTTTTTGTTTTAATTTTACCACTTGTGACGTTAAAAATCAAATCTTTAGCCAATGAACTACTAATTCTGTCAGTCTGAGTGTTTTTTCGTCTACTATGGGAACCAGCCTGCAATGTTAGATAAAAGTCTTTTAATACTTGCAGAATTAAACACTTTCCCTTTAATACATCCGATGTACGTAGATTTTCTGGCAATGGCGTTTTTTATATGTTGAGTATTTTTTGTCATAAAATATTAGCGACACTCTGAACAATGTCTTTCTCCTGTATCAACGAGTATACATATTCATCAATCTGACGACCCTTAGGCCCTACAATTTTCTTATGATGCATTAAAGTCAACTCAAGTAAGTCTCTGTATTTTTTTCTCAATTTCTGCCCAAAAAAAGCCACTCCTACATTGCTGTCGATTTCCTCTCCATTTTCAGCAGCTAATTTTTTACGGTATCCGTATAGTATTGACATAAAAAAGAGAAAAAGAAACATTTTTTGTCTTTAACAATATTTTCATTAATGAAAAAGCAAACTTCATGAAAAGCTTTATCGCGATATTCTAACTTCTTATGATACTCAGTTTTTGGTTTGTTGTCATACATACGTAAGGAATTCATGTATTCAACTCTACAATTGCGGTGAGCTTTTACAACTACTGAGCTTTGTAATGTTTTATATACGGTCGTATTCTCCAGGAATTCCTTATATGGTTGAAGAGTATTAATCAAAGCATCTTTTTCAAGAGAGAATAACGGCATGTGCTTGCCTTTTACTTTCCGATGAGCTTGGGTGCAAAAAATACAAACATTAGTATTTTATGATGATGCATAGAGATCAGCTATTGCAGGTTCAGGAGTTGGGCCTGGACTATCTTGAACTTCAGGCTGATGATCTTGATTGTTTGTGTAATTAACACTCTCTTCAAGTTGAGGTTCTGTCTGTACGATTTCAATATTTTCTAGCTAGGTATTTATTTTTATTTTAGCAACATCCTCGAAAGTGTTCAGTCTTGTAACATTTTGTTGGTTACTAAATTTGAGAAAGATTCTTCCGAAATTGGTCCATATCATACCTGACGTTCCAACTTTCTTTACTGCTTCACTAACAATCTTCAGCATATTTTTAAAATACAACGAGAAAAATATAACCATGATTGCTCTGCTTCTATTTATTTCATTATTGTTCAGTCTATAACAAAATTCAATGCTAGACTCCTTAACATTAAGTTTCATTTTACTTTCAAAAATGTCCAAAATATTATTTAGGAGATTTTCATTTGCCGATGATTGGCCATAGATTCTGTATATAGACAGACCATTAATGTTTTAATTTTGTAATAGTTTTACAATTTTCATTTGAGATCTGTAAAAGATAAACAATAATTGAATCAACATGTTAATTTTTCATTCGTTCATGCAACTCGTTTTTGCTATTTTAAGCATGTGTGTATTCAAATAATATAATTTTGATTTAATTAACAACGCATCATACTTGTTTTGAGAAGAATGATAAATTACTTAAATGAAAATAGAGGGTTTTAATTATACGTAGGGTGTAAAAGAGGGAAGGGAAATTGTTTGTATATCATAGATTATACTGCAAAAAATTGTTTAAATATACAATACAATTTTACATAGGTAGCTTTAACTTTTATAGTTTTATATCAATTTCAATTAAACTTCAAATCGTTTGTAAATCATAGATTATACTGCAAAAATTGATCTCTCGATTCCATTTAGAACTGAGAAACAATTAAACCAAGAAGTTCAAATTTTTGTCAAAAATATTAAACGAGCAGCGTAGATAAACACTCCTGAGATTAAATGCAGAGTGCAAGGTAATAATTATCCAAAAGAGGAAAATTATTAAAAAATGCTAGCAGTCTAAAGTACCAGATGATAAAACAGTTTTAAACAATGTAACACAACAGCTAAAACGAGAAATACGGCGCAATTAAAATGTGTCGATCGGCGAAAACTTATATGAATAAACTAACAATAAAAGTACAAATTTTTCACTCTGGAAAGCTAAAGCAATTTGCAAAAAAAAGAATACATTTCATTCCAATAATGATGAGGATCTCTAAGACTGGATAGAACTAACACAAGAAGAGACAGTCGTTAAACCTACCTCTCTAAAGAAGTTTATATGTAAATATAAATCCGAAAAAGCGCATAGATTTGACTTCATTATTACCGAGGATATTTTGAAAAGACTTCCACGGAAAGCTATTCTCCAAATGACCAGTTTTCTCAATCACTAATTAATTTATCAAAAGACCCATTTAGGTCAACTGATAGGTCTTTAGCTACTGTTGTCAATATTCTATTAAGGTACTGTATTAGGTCATAATTTACAATTTTTTGTTTTATTTAGAAACAAAGATCTATAGAGGTCTACTACACAAAAAACTAGTATAACTACTATTGATTCTTCAAAAATATACAAAACTAGTTTTGTGCAATTCAAAATGTGCAGAACTAGTTATGACTGTTTTGTAACACTCAATCGCCGCATAAAACTACGGGTTTGGGAAATATTTGTTGCTCAAAATTAGTTTTGTTCATTTTTTTCAGGCATAACGCTAATTCGAGTATTGTGAGTAACATACACATAAACTGTAAATTCCTTTGTCACACAAGAACAAAATCTTGTGCAAAAGTCATACTAATTTATTAAATTGGTTCTTACAAACACTAAATGCTGGCAAACCCCCTTTAAAATCAGCTTATTCTATTCATATTTAAGATTCATCCCGAATTTATACTTGAAACCTACAAAATTATTCTTCAATGGATGCATTAGTGTGACATGCATGCATAATGAATTGCTTTTATTAAAAATAGACTGCAGTAACTAAATAACCCCTAACTGATTATACATACTTGGTAAAGCCTTTTAATGGTTTCTGTCTAATTTTCTGCAGCTTTTAATCAATTTTCAAATGTCTCGTTTTTATGTCCCCAGATGAACTGAACAAGAGATAAAACTTTTTTATATGTCCCTCTTCGAAAAAATATTGCTGATAAAAGTTTTTGCTTGTTTCAAAAGTACTAATAATCCAAAGAGAAGTTAAATATCTCTTTGTTTAGGGGAACTAATGACAAAAATTGTTTACAGCTATAAATTGGAATATGACGTTGAAATTTTAAAAGAAAAAATTAGGGAGGGACTTAAATATATTTCTTAAGTTACATTCAAAATGTTTACAAAGAATTTTTACACAGAGCTAAAAAATGTGTTGAATTGGGTGATTTTCATGTTGAAAAATATAAATAAATTAAAATGTTATTTTTATTAATAATATTATTACTAGTATATCACTAAAGCAATATATTCAACTTCTGTTTGAATTAATATTATTTTTGAAACGAGTAAAAACTTTTATGAAGAATAACATTAAAAATAAAAAAGTGTTTCCTCTTTTTTAGTCCATACATTTGATCGAAATTGACGCGTCTCATACTCCCATCTGACAAGCCGTTTCTGTTTATATTTAAAATGTATTTGTTCCACCGCTTTGTTCGATCGACTGCCCCTTAAGATTTCCAATCATTTAAGACATCTTCAATGGATAGGTTTGTTATTGACACAAGTAGAGATGGCTCTCCATATCGGGCAAGAGCACTTGTCGGTCTAGACGTCGAGCTTTAGCAGATATAGGGACATTCATCATTCACTATCGTATCTTGAACTACAGTCAAGTTGACAAGTGATGAATTACTCAGAAACGATTTGGGGATTTACAAATAATATATATTAATAAATGAACATTTTTTTTTAATTAATTGCTTAAGCGAAATGTTTTTATTTATACTTAATACTCTATTCTTTTTTCAATAAAGTCCATTTACTTTCCTTGGGAATAGAAATATTTGGAAGTTGTTACTCCTGTGTTACTAAAAATAAACGGGTATCGTATAATACTAATCAATAAATTTTTAGGACTTCAGAGTCATTATTTACGCAAGGTTTGGCAGCGGCTAATTGGCAACACATGAGAAAAGTTACCCTATGATTGCTATACTGCAAACGCACAGACTATATACAGGGTGGCAAAAAGCCTTATATAGTTGTGCTCTAAAGTCTAAGATTATAACTCTAAAGGCATCTGAGCTCAGATGTTAATAGCCTAACTTGGTATCATTGTTTACATGCCTATGTTGTCAAGAAATTATATGAAGTATTTGTCACTTACACTTTCAGCTAAATTATGCTTCTATCAGCAATTTAAAATTTCAATTATGTACGTCAACAGACCGACTAAACGTCTATAACACTAATAAAGATGTAATAATAGAGTTTTGAGAGACAAAACGTGTATAAAATTAAAAAACATAATAATAATCTTGGCATCCGAAGTTGCCAAGGATATCATTTACTAGAACAGCTACGTAATGATGGGTTGACTAAAGAGCGACGAATGACGCACGTGACGTGTTAAGGTAGGAAGATATTCCGTGCTCACTACAATAAGAAGGTTAAGTGGCGACATTATGATCACTGCATAATCTTTTCTTTAGTTTTTACTATGTAGTGTGCTTTTGACGTTCTTGTCATTATAGTTTAAGATTTCTAGGTCAATTTTATTTAAGGTTAGTCAAGTGTCAATATTAAGAACATGTCATAATTATGTTACGTCTTAAGCCTGTAGATCATAGTCGATAACTTGTTTGTACACATTGATCTGTCTAATCAATTGATATAGCAACCTGAGGATGTAGGCATTCCAAACAAAATGGCTGCCCGTTTGAAATGACAGGCCACTGACAGGCACATGATAGGTTATAATATGGCAACACTGTGGGCATGGTAGTTTGATAGGTGCAATGATATAGATAGTTATATAGATTGATCATCCATGTTTTTAAAAATAAAATTAAGCTTATGCCTTGAAATAAATATTCAAAGGCTGGAAATTGGTTTTAAAACATATTTTTGCTAAACTGTTTCAAATTAATGAACACTTTTCAGGCAATATTGCCGCTCGT